TGCCAGCAGTTCATTTTGAGACCACATCAGTGGCCGGCTTTGGGACTGTGGCAGCTGGTCACTGTGGTCTTGAAGTGATCAGTGCCAGAGTGGTCTCTGGCTGCTCTTTTTGCAGCTTCACCTCCAGTTGGTTTTTATGGCTGAGTGGGGATTTGTATCCTGGTCTCCGTATTCATAATCCAGTGCTTTAATATCACCATCATTTATTATGATCAACAGATCCAATATAGTTTTTTGTGGGTTTTTCGGGCTGTGAGGCCGTGTTCTAGAAGAATGTATTCCTGACATTTCACCTACATCTGTGGCTGGCATCTTCAGAGAATTGTGGCAATGATGGTTTGCCAATGGTGGCAATGAATGGTGGTTTGAATACCATTCTCAACTGAATTCAAACCTGGTGACAGATTAATCATCTTTGATGTGGTCTCCCCATTCACCAAAGTCCCCATAATGGACACTATGACATTCATCCAACAATTTTTTTCCAAAAAATGTCACAGCCCTGTTTGAACATTGCCTCACCACAAGCTACTTCCAGTGGGACAATGGATTCTATGAGCAGAGAGATGGGGTAGCCATGTGAAGCCCTTTGAGCCCCATGATAGCAAACTTTTACATGGAACACTTTGAAAGGCAAGCCCTGGAAACATCATCAGAAAAGCCCACAACATGGTTCCATTACATGGATGACACTTTCACCATTTGGAGCCATGGAGAAGAAGATCTGACCATGTTTTTGAACCATCTGAACAACATCCAGCCAAACATCTAATTCACAATGGAAAAAGAAAAAGAAGGAACAGTGCCATTCTTGGATGTTCTGGTCATCCGCAAACCAGACCAATGATTGGGCCACACAGTATACAGAAAACCTACACACATGGACAGATACCTACACAAGAAGTCCAGTCATCACCCAAGACAAAAAAGAAGCACAATAAAAACACTGGCAGATGGCACAAAAGGATCTGTGAACCCCACTACCTGGAAGATGAACTGAAGCACCTAAGCTGGGCTCTACAGGCTAATGGTTACTCCAGCTCAGACATCAGAAGAGCGTCCAGACCTAGAAAAAAACCATAGAAGTAAAGAAAAACAACCACTCAAAGGGAAGGTATTTTTACCATCAGATAGAAGAGGAAAACTGATGAGGAAACACAACCTTCAAATGATCTACAGACCAACCAAGAAAATCCAGAAAATGCTGCACTCAGCAAAGGATAGCAGAGACCCTCTCACAGCCGCAGGAGTTTACTGCATACTGTCCAGCTGTGGACAAGTCTGCATAGGGACCACAAAACACAGTGTTCAAATGCAAATCTAGGAACACAGGAGACATTGCAGACTGAGACAGCCTGAAAACTCAGCAGTAGCAGTACACGTTTTAAACCAACCTGGGCACAAAATGCTATTTGAAAACACTGAAATTCTGGACCATGTCAACAATTATCAAGTTAGAATGCATAGGGAAGCCATTGAAATTCACAAACAACTGGACACTTTCAACAGGAAAGTAAATAAAGGGCCTAAGCAGACAGGCGGCCGTTGGCGCCCCTGGAAAGGAGCGCTAAAATAGCACTCCTTTCATATGTTGCGGCGTACTTTCAGCGACCCGCCGCAGCATGTCTGAATGCTGTGGCAGGAGGTCCTCCTCGGAGCGCCAGCCATGCGGAGGGCCGACGGCTCCGAGGACGACCTCGGGAGGGGGAGGGGGCACCAAGCGTGCGGCTGCCCCTCCCCTTCCTTGCGCCGAGGATGGCTTTTTAAGCCATCTGCCGAGGCCCAAAGTTTGGCTACCAGTCCTCAAAAACACCAAAAGCAGGACTCAGCAAGTGCGAATGAACTTCACCCAAGGCCAGGGGGTTTCCCAGCAGACAATAGGCCATTAATTAAATAGACACTAATCCTCCTCTCATATCCTCCCACCCTGGGGCCTTGCTTCAACAGAACAATACACAGATTTACATGGTAATCCTCTCAACCAAAGGTCACACAGTATATATATACCCCATACACTTCCATGCTACCATTCTCTGAAGATGCCAGCCACAGATACAGGTGAAATATCAGGAATACATTATTCTAGAACATGGTCCCATAGCCTGAAAAACACAAAAACCTATGGATGCCAGCCATGAAAGCCTTCAATTTCACAGATCCAATATATCCAACAGAAAACTCAACATACTTGCTCCCCAAATATAGCCTCCAATAACTGGCATTCATTGGCAATCTGCTATCCCAAGTACTAACCAGGGCTCACCAAAACTTTCCTATCGTGGTAGCTGAGGAATAATTTGAATGCACTCCCAAGTGTCTGTTAAAACAATCTATTGATTTTTTTTGTAAAAATAAATGAAATGTATTATATTAATCTTTGATCATTTATTGGGATTCTAATTAGTTATGGTTGGGTTGCTAGCCAGCACTGGAACTGTCTTACTAGCACAGCTACACAGTTGTGTAGGACTTCAAGTTTATAACCAGACATCACTTTTAAATTGCTTAAACATGAATTAGTTAACTATATCCTATGTTTCTTCTAGATTGAAGAAGAAACAAATGGGGACCTGTTCGATATTGAAATTAATGTGTCAGATCCAGAAAAAGTTGGTAAGCTTGAAAACTGAGTACGGTTGAAACCATAAATTATCTGTTGTGGATCCTCTCTTTACATAGATATCTTAATATCTGACTAAATCCATGAAGAGTATTATGTTCTAAGAAATTTTGGAAAGCTGACTTGTATGTTCTTGTGTTCCTACAGGTGATGGCATGAATGCTTATATGGCATATAGAGTAACAACAAAGGTAACCTTTTGATGACAAGACAAAGCAAAATTTTGCCAGTCATGCACTGTATAAATTTTGAAATTTTTAAAATGTTTCCTTATGTATTTTTAGACATCTTTGTCTATGTTTCACAAAAATGAATTCGCTGTAAAAAGAAGATTCAGTGACTTTCTAGGCTTACATAGCAAATTAACATCAAAATATCTTCATGTTGGATACATTGTGCCCCCAGCTCCAGAAAAAAGTATTGTAGGTAAGTGCAGTCCATGGCAAATTACATTTCACTTTTAATGTGTTGCTCTCACTTTTTTTAAAAAAAATGTTTAGGATCAGTTTTTGGTCTACTTGTTAAATGTAGTACTACATAGAAAAGGAGTAGGAGAAGAAAATGTGGAAATATTTAAGCTAAGGAAGATCAGAACTTAGAACACTCTTTGAAAGAAAATACATTTCAACTATCTTTTCCATTATCTATTTAGAGATCTCTTAGTTTGATGAGCCTATATATTACTGAAGACCACCATATTTGAATTTTGACATTAGCTTTTATTTATGACCTTTGAACCTTGATTTTGATTTGTTATTGTGCTTATTGAAAATGTATCCAATTTTGAATTGTATAGGTTAGTATACTAGAAATAGCCCCTGCTGTGTAACCTTGATGCACAAGTCAAAGAATTGAGGGTATTATTCCCTCTAGCAGTGAACTTGGTGGTGTGCTGCTGACAAATAGAGCTAAAAAGTGCTGATGGAAAAACAAGTAGTAGATATGAACAAGCTTGAAGCAATTCTATTTCCGCATAAATGTTGCTATTATTGTTGTGTGCCATCAAGTTGTTTCCAACTTATGGTGACCCTAAAGTGAACCTATCATGGGATTTTCTGAGACTGAAAGTAGGTTTATTTGAAGAAGGTTTCCATGGCTGAGCAGGGATTTGAACCCTGGTCTCCAGAATCACAATCCAATGCTCAAACCACTATACCAATGCATAAATACAGTTTTAAAAAATAAATTTTAAACGACTGAGTATGCTCAGGACTTGCCTGCAGTGTAATTGTTGCTTTGAAAAGAGAAACGAAAGTAAATTGGCTTATTTGAGGCTCTTGTAGCTGATAGCATTCAGATAAGGAAATGAGTAGTGCCCTGTAAGGAAGATCCTTGTTAGGGGCAGCAAAATTTGGAACAAAATTTTATTACAGGTTTTACTTGTTGCCTACAAAATAAAGGGCTTTTTCCCCTGGACAGTACAAGTGTCTCTGGGCTTTCTGCAGACTTAACAACATAGTATTCAATATATCCAATTTTGTCAAGGATCCTTTTTCTTTAGTAAAGCTTAATTTGAAAAATGATTCTAAGATGTGGTATCCCAGAATGTAAGCCAAGGGATTTAGAAAGTAGAACTGTACATGTTTGTTAATAGAGGATCTAACATTGGTATATTAGTTCAGTCTGCTCTAGATCTTCTATTGTTGGCAACAGAAGCTTGAATAAAAATAATGTCCTGATGTCCCAAATGCAGGAGTGTAAGTGATCATTATTCAGATTATATATAAACTCTTCTCTT